CCTCATTTGAATAACCCTGAGTAGCGCCTCATTTACATTGACCAATGGGAATAGCTCTGTACAATGCCTCATTAGAATTATCCAATAGAATCCCTGCTTCTAGCTTGCGCCTTTTTCCCTATATAAGGACCCCTTTCCCTTGGCTCGGCGCGCTTAGCCACACAGAAGCTAAGTCGCCCGGGTACCCGTATCTCCAATAAAGCCTCTTGCTTTTGCATCCAAGTTCGTGGTCTCGCTGATTCCTGGGTGCGGGTCTCCTTCTATGAAAGTACCTCTTCGGGGATCTTTCATTATGTTTTGGGGACACAGAACTTTAACTCCTTTGTGATTTTGGGGTCACGATGGGCACATCGAATGTGCAATCCCTTTAATTTGTCTTTGTTAATTGATTCTTCTGCTTCTTTGCTATGAAATTGAAACATGGTCTCAGTAACTGCAGTTACAAATGTTAATTAGCTATTGACTCACAATATTGTGACTTAGCCTCCTGCCACTTCTTATAATAAAAATTTGTACACATGTTATATCTCATTGACAAAACAATACCCCTTCAATTAATAACATGCTTATGACAATTCTCTTTTGTTTTTTAACTTTAAAGGTGTGTGTGTGTGTGTGTGTGTGTGTGTGTGTGTGTGTGTGTGTGTGTGTGTGTGAATGTATGTCACACTGGTGCAAGGGCCAGAAGAGGCCTTCAGATCCCCTGAAACTAGAGTTCTAGGCCATCATGAGCAGCTTGATATGGGTGTTGGAAACCAAATACAGACCGACTGCAAGAACAGTGTATACTCTCAATGGCTGAGCCATCTCTCCAGCCCCTCTTTAATTTTGGTAACTTGAAATCCTATATATATCTTAGTCACTTTCCCTCTTTTTTGCTGACAAATTTACTTTCGGGGCTGGGCAGTTTGGCATCTTAACCAGTACTCCAGCTATTTTGTTTTAATTAGACATGCCCTGAACTAGGAGGACTGGTGTCTGGGGACAGAAGATGGATGCCTCAGATCAAGCAAAGAACACAAATGGCCCCTCCCCATCTTCTGGCTTTACTCTGACCTTCACAGCATCAGATGGTGTTCACCCACACTGGGGGAGACAGTTGTGACTCAGCTAATCAGCTCCAGAAACACCCTCACAGACACACCCAGAAATAGCATTTTACTGCCTGTCTGGGCATTCTATAATAGCCCAGTGTATTTGCCTCATAATGTTAACCATCATGCTACATTGAGGACACCAAGACACCTGTAAAACAGCTTAGCTATTTTGAGAAGTCCAAATGTGCCCGGTTGATGACAATGTCACTTTCTAACTTAATGGGATTACCATGGAAACAAATCTCTGATCTTGCCTTGGGAGAGGATCTAGAGTAGCTTGGCTTAAGTAAGAAGACTAGCCTTGAATATGGGCAGAACCAGTCCCCGGGCCGGGGTCCCCAACTGAGTAAAAAAGGGGAAGGGAGCCAAGCACAAACATTCCTCCCCTTTGCTTCCTGATTGGACATGGCAGCCAGCTTCCTCCTGCTCCTTCACTGTGACTTTCCTGTCATGATGGGCTGTCCCGAGACTGTGAGCCCAAACCCTTCCTTCCTGAAGTTCAGTACTTCATTCAGTAGTGAAGAAAGTAACAAACTCAGTCTGTGCCATCTCTTCCCTGGGCACCTCTCTCTTAATTCCTGTGCTCACACTCCCTTTAAAGCTGTTTCTTAATAAACTCCAGTTTTGTTTGTAAGAAGTGAATTTAGGATTAAAATGTCCCAATCCAAATGGGTGAAAAGACAGAAGTTGCCAGACAACATTGGAGGAAACACAAATAATAAACACATTTTATGAAACCCCAGTGAGGAATTAGATCATGAAACAGAACAGGGATTTTGTTGAGTTTATCTAAACTGCCATGTTTCAAAGAGTCCTTCTGTATAACACAGGGTAAGAAAGATCCCCATCCCCAGCACAGGACACCTGCAGAAGTCAGCCTAGGACTTCCATTCTTTGTTACAAA